TTTTTTTTTTTTTTTTTTTTTAAAAGCACACACTGATGTATTATTTTGCTTTAGAGAAATACAATAAACTAATTTTTCTGTTAAAAATTTGTGACCAGGTGCGATGGCTCAAGCCTGTAATCCCAGCACTTTGGGAGGCCAAGGCAGGCGGATCACCTGAAGTCAGGAGTTTGAGATCAGCGTGGCCAACATGGTGAAACCCCTTACTCTACTTAAAATACAAAAATTAGCCAGGCTTGGTGGTGGGCACCTGTAATCCCAGCTACTTGGGAGGCTGAAGCAGGAGAATGGCTTGAACCCAGGAGGTGGAAGTTGCAGTGAGCAGAGATCACACCATTGTATTCTAGCCTGGGATAGAGCAAGACTCCATCTCAAAACAAAACAAAAATTTAATAACATATCCTGGTATTTATGTAGATACTCCATACACAAGCTCATGGATATTGATCAGGGGTGTGTGTGTATATGTGTATGTTGCACACTGTGTTTTGTCTCATTGTTTCAGGGAGATAAATCTGGGAAGTGAAATTGCTTGGTCAAGAGTATGTATTGGTTGGCTGCGGTGGCTCATGCCTGTAACCCCAGAACTTAGGGAGGCCGAGGCGGGCGGATCATTCGAGGTCAGGAGTTGGGAGACCAGACTAGCCAACATGGTGAAACCCCATCTCTATTTGAAAATACAAACATTAAAAACAACAAAAAATGAAAATACACAAATCAGCTGGTGATGACATGACTGTAATCCCACCTACTTGGGAGACAGAGGCAGGAGAATCACTTGAAACCTTTAGTGAGGCAAGATCACATCATTGCACTCCAGCCCGGGCAACAAGAATGAAATTCCGTCTCAAAAAAAAGAAAACCCAGAGCTTGTTTCAAAACTTGGCCCAAAATTGTAGCTGTAAGTGTGAAGGGCCTGCTTCTAGAGATCGTGAAGATTCAACACTAAGTTATACTGGGCTGGTATCATGTATTTTCTGTGAATTTTGGGAAGAAGAGAGTTAAATGGAAGAAAGAAAAAAATCTTACAAATACCTTTAGGATAGTAGTGTTTTGGATACAGTTCATATTGTTTGAAATAAATAATTAAAGCTATGCTTAAAATTCCCTGCCTGGGATGGGCTGGTAACAGTTTTGAGGTTATTCTCCTTAGGCTTCAGTGTTTAGTACACTATACCCCATTTTCTTGGGAAGTGAACAGCAACATTTACTCCATTAAAATCACTATACATTGTGTCTGCTTTCAGATTTCTTTCTTTTAGTAATAGTGTTGTGTGCGTGTTAGATTTTTTCTTCTGCCTTTACTGAAACACAACCTTTTGAATTCCATTAGCAAATACGCTCTTTTGTGTGGATAACCTAATAAGCTTTTCTCTTTGAGTTTTCTGTTTTTTTATTCAGTACAGCCATGGAAGCAGGGATTTAATTTTGTCAAACTCTGCATCTCACAAAGCAATAGTTACTCGAAACACGATTTTTAAGAAGGTTATTCTTTTTAAGCTTCTCTTAGCAGATGAGCTGAGTAGCAGCAGGAAAGAAGGTGTTGAGAACTGTCTTGGTTTTTGTGCTACTGCTGTTAACAGTGCAGCTGTGTTAAATCCTGAATGACATAGAAACTTACAGCTGGTCTTACTACATAGCACCTTGATAGTGACAGGGCTTTCGGGTTTCTTTCTGATTTCTTCTGTTTTTCAAAAATAAAACTCCTTATTTTTTCATATTATTTCAAATATTCTTTAGCTTCTATCACTAATACGTGGTTTCAGCAATAGAGACCAGTTAAATAGGCTAAGGAAAGTATTGATAGCATGTAGCAGAGATTTTGGAGTGTTTGTTAAAAGTAAAAATAGGGCTGGGTGGCCGGGCACAGTGGCTCACGCCTGTAATCCCAGCACTTAGGGAGGCCGAGGCAGGTGGATCACAAGGTCAAGAGATCGAGACCATCCTGACCAACATGGTGAAACCCTGTCTCCGGAAAAAAAAAAAACAGGGCTTGGCATGGTGGCTCACTCTCTCACCTATAATCCCAGCATTTTGGGAGGCTGAGGCAGGAGGATTGCTTGAGGCCAGGAGTTTGAGACCAGCCTGGGTCTTTTACAGGTGAGAAAAGGTCCGTTTGCCCAGAATTGTAGCTGTTAGTGTGAGGGGCCTGCCTCTAGAGACCATGCAGATTCAACACTAACTACACTGGACTGGTCTCACATAGTGAGACCCTTCTGTACAAAAAATACGAAAAGTAGCCCGGCATAGTGGCTCACGCTTGTAGTTCCAGCTACTCGGGAAGCTGAGGCATGAGGATTGCTTGAGCCAAGGAGGTCAAGGGTGCAGTAAGCCATTACCATGCCACCGTTCTTGTGCCTGGGCAACAGCTCAAGACCCTGTCAAAACAAAAAAAAGAGAGAGAGAGAAAAGAAAAAGTAAAAGTAGATACACAGGGAAATAAAAACAGAACACTAAGCAGTTGCTAATGCTGGGGAAAATTGAAGTATTGTACAAAAAAGTATGATTGGGCTGGGCACAGCGGCTCCTGCTTATAATCCCAGCACTTTGGGAGGCCAAGGAGGGCAAATCACTTGAGGCCAGGAGTTCAAGACCACCCTGGCCAACATGGCGAAACCCCGTCTCTACTAAAAATATAAAAAGCAACCAGTCATGTTGGCATGTGCCTGTGGTCCCAGCTACAGGCCAAGATAGGAGGATCACTTGAACCTGGGAGGTGTAGGTTGCAATAAGCTAAGATCGCACCACTGCACTCTAGCCTGGGCAATAGAGAAATACTCTATCTCAAAAAAGAAAAAGTATGATTGGTTGTAGTGCATTACTTACATTATCATTGAATAGTATTTTATAATATACCACTGATTAAACCAGAATATGTGATATTACTGGGATAAGGCAGGGGGAAACTGGCTGGTGGAGCAGCTACGTCTTAACCTTTCAGGCAATAGATAATGGCTGGAATAAACTAAGAAAGCAGTTAAAGCGCAATCTTTAGAAATACCCTATCCATTTTGTACATTGACCACAAAATTAAAAAAAAAGAAATGCTCTAAGTAAACACAAAGAGAAAGCAAAAAATAAAATTGAGAGTGATTGCCTATGGGTGTTGGTCGGGAGCATTTTTCATAAGCCTTTTAATACTCTGACTTTTAAAATTATGTACATGGATTAGTTTGATCAAAATAACTACACAGAGTGTAAGAGAAGGGCATTTAAGGATACACAAAAATATTCTCAGATCAACCTCTGTATTTTTTACTAGTTGCTGGGACTCTTTCTTTACTTTTCCCTGTTATAGCCAGCACCACATGGAATATCTTAGATACGGCCTGAAGGAATAAACATTGTTTGGTTTATTAGTTACCTGCAGCAGAATGTTTGGCTTTCAGAATTTGACTGAAGGACACATTATCAGATGATTTATTTTCTTTTCGATAGTACTTATCTTGCTCTAATCTTAGTATTCCCCACTGGTTTGTTGCTTGGTCCATTTGCAGTTATGCTTGATTAGTGCCCCAATTGTTAGCTTTAGAACAAAAGAATGATAATCACTTATGCCCCTCAAATGAGCTGCTAGGTCGTAATTATCTAAGAAAGGTGTCACTATAAATAACGTGTCCCAGTTCTGCTGTTTTCTGCTTTTGTTTAGCAAGTATGAAAACAGTGACTGAGCTAACCAGAACGGGGATTTTATTTTTCTTTAGTTACCCAAAGATCTAGGTTGTGTCCTATATTCATGGCTGGAGACGCTTCGCTACACCAGTGATTGTACTACTGCCACTTCATCATTGCCTGATACACTCTCTGAGGGTTCTCCCAGAATCTTTTATCTGCAAAATGCAATTTGCATCAGTTTTATATACTCTTCTTGCTCTAAGAAGCTGTGCTCAGGGTGACTGTGAGAGAGACTTTTTGACCTTCTTCGGGCTCCGTCTCCCTGCACTTTCTTTCCCCCAACAAGGTATTTGGCAGCTCAGATTCTGAAAAACAGATTCCTTTCAAGTGTAGATTAGGGCTTCAGCTCTGCTCCTTAGGCTAGTTAGAAATAATATGGAGCTATTTCTGGAATGCTGAGCCTTGGTCTTTTATTTCAAGGCCTGGTGGGGACCCCAGAGCCTTAGGGATCTCTACCATTTGCACCGGCACGCTGCTCGGAGCTGTGGTCTTTCTCTCGTTAACCTGAGCTTGCCTGTCACAGCGGGGAAGTGCTGGGGGAAAGCTGTTGGTGCTGGTAGCAGTAAATGGATTGAAAAAGCAGTTCCTACGTTTACTTTCTCCTCCTCTCCTGGGAGCAGACCATGGTTTAGTTTCGAGAAGAGTGCAGCAGCTCGAGACCAGAGTCTTGCTTTACTTGCTTTTGCCTGTGGAGTAGGGGAGCCAGCATTCTCAGAAGACCAGAAAGGATGACAGGGGGAAGGGAGGGAGACAGCCCTGTTTAGCTGAGGAGAGACAGGTGCCATCCCCAGGGTGAGGCCTTCCTTTCAGTGGACCGTATTTGGTGCTGGAGAAGAGCCTGTGAGGAGTGAAGGAGGAAAGGCGGAGACTGAACGGGACTCCAGCCGGTTCCTGCACGCAGCGCACACCCAGCGGGAAGGAAGAGGAAGTGTGTTCAGGAATAGCTCAGGCAGCTGCGCCATTGGCCAGCGGGCCTGTCAGTCGCCTGGGGGCTGAGGCTGAAAAGAGGAAGAAGTGGAGGGGGCTGTTGCCTGGAAGGGAGGGAGGAGAGCTGAGGAGGGCTGAGCCAGGCCGAGCCAGGGGGCGTGGGGGCTGGGACCGCAGGCCGATTGGCAGGGCGGGGTTGCCTTCAATCCTGGTCACTTCTCTTAATCGTCCCCCTTCTGCTTCAGGGTGGCATTGTGTGTCCCAGAGTGCCGGAGTGAGTCCCAGAAGAGAGGCGAAGCTAAGCCCAGAGTGCTGGGTTGCTTCAGCAGGGAAGACTCCCTTCCCCCTGTTTCAGGCTGCTGAGCACTGAGCAGCGCTCAGAATGGAAGCCATCGCCAAATATGACTTCAAAGCTACTGCAGACGACGAGCTGAGCTTCAAAAGGGGGGACATCCTCAAGGTAAGTGCTGATGCCGAGCACAATGCTGAGATCGCTCTCCTTGTGCTCATGCACCTTCTTTCGCCCTGATTACACACAAAGAAGCTGTGTTTTTCATTGTACACTTCTAACATTTACCATCATATTTGATCTGGAGAGCCTGAGATACGTGCTGAGTAGGATACTAAATATGACTTAAATGAGTTGGTGTGATGTGTGGTCTTTAACTGCCTTTGTGTGAATACTTCAAGAATTTGTTTGTCTATTGATACTGGTAGTATTTCAAGTAAAGTCAAAGTTTAATGTGATTGTAGAAAGGAAGTATATGAGTAGATTGATCTGCCCTGTTGAATTTTATTTAAAAATTAGCATTTTTAAAAAAGACCTAGACTTAAAGTATTTATGTAGAAGCATTCAGTCAGTCTTATTTTACATAGCCAAAAGATTTTGCATTCTGGAATATGATTTTGGTAGGTTAGAAATTAATTTTCCCAGTTTAGAGAGATTGTTAGAAGTACATACCCAAACTCATTAAAGAACCTCAGTGTATTTTTATTCTTTGTGAAAAAACAAATGGAGTTCTCAATAATAAGGTGCAACCTGCTATTGTACAAGTCAGATTTCGACTTTCTTAAGAGAAACTTGAGAAGCAATTACCCCTTATTAAACTTTAATTGCATGAAAAGAAACCTGCTGACAGTTTAAAAATCAGCTTCTATATAGTGCACAGCTTATTTTGAGCCCCACTATTTATGTGAGGATTCGCTCTCCCCCAGCACATGTTAATTATGTTGTTTACCCAATTGACTGGAGCAGTTTGCCCTTTTGGATGTATAATTTATTTTAACAAGGATGAGTGTTATCAAAGAGTATCTTAACTTTAAAAGAGGAAAGGTTGGAGTTAAATGTTTGAGTATTCCCTGTGTCTTAAGTTTTGACATTTTTACTTCTGAGCCTTAGACTTATTGCTGGAATTTGCCACTCATTTGTTTACTACTCCTGATTGAAATTCTTAGCATTTTATAAAGAGAAAGAAAGTGGAGATGTAGAAATATGGTTCTTTTAAAAAGACTTGAGGTTTTTTTACTTTTAAGTTATGTGGACCTATTGATAGTCACTATTTTGCCCTCATTGCCCGAGGTGTCGTAGAGTTCTACTCTGAAGTTAACTGCCCAGTAATTTCTTAATGTTAGAAATATAGGTTGAGTCTCATAGAAGATGATGCTGCAGAGCTCTTTAAAGAGAAGAAAATTTGTGTCTGTGTATTCATGTCAAAGCTGGGTTTCTGACAGCACACTTTTCCCAGGTATTCTCAAAGTCAGCACTAAATTGTCAGAAAGCAGATGGAACCAGCTATAGGTTTCTGTTTTCTTGGACAGCTGGAAATCAGGGCAAAGTTAACTTAGACTAAAAAATTGCTCAGTTTCAGTGGTGTATGGGAGAGGTAATTTGATGTTTCTGTAGGTGATTACTAGTTCCCATAGATAATCCACTTACGATGGTAGAGGATGCCTACTCAAATGCCCACATTTATAGCCTGTACAAAAACCCTCTTGGGCCAGTATTTTGCTTTTTGTTTTTGATAACATTCTAGAGCCAGCTTCTTCATAAGTTTACCTTAGAAACTTGAACCTAGAAGGCTGGCAGTTCATATTTTTCTCAAAATCTGTCCCATTGCACATTAAGCACTGAAGCAACAAATTAAAACTGGGGGCATGCACATGCAGTCTCTAAGAATTTTTAAACAAGAACTTTCCCTGATTTCTGTCTTTGAAATTTGTCCTAGACCTAGACCGTGAACATTTTATAAATTCTTGTAACTTAAATTAGTAAACTCTGGCACAAGTGTAAAAACCTTCTCTCCCATGCTATTATTAGGGAAGAAGATATTGTTTAACATTCCCTTAGAAATTTTTATTATGGAGGAGAAAGTGAATCAGAATACTCACATTTACTTTCAGATTTTCTTTGAGGAGAGAGAAAAATACATATATGTGGTTCTTTTCAATTTGGTAGATAACTGAGATATGAAGTCATAATGCCATTATTGCTTTTGAACGGTGGCCATTAGCTGTTTGTTAGTAATGTTGTGGCTTTACTCCAAAAGAAAAAAAAAGAGTGACGATACAGTAGTTGCCCTCTGTCTCATAACTGTGTGAAATGGCTGGGTGAAGAGGAGGGACATGCTTTCTTAAAAGCTGTTAGTTAAAAAAACAGGGTTTTCCTCATTTGATTTTTCAGGGAGTAAACTGGCTTCATTTGAATAGCTTTAATTTGTTAAGTCTTGAGGGTATTAGTTGTAAGCCAAAACAAGTTTTAAAAGTTGCTGGAATAGCATTGACACTTTGATTGAAATAGGCATATAGGCCGGGCGCGGTGGCTCACGCCTGTTATCCCAGTACTTTGGGAGGCCGAGGCGGGTGGATCACGAGGTCAAGAGATCGAGACCATCCTGGTCAACATGGTGAAACCCCGTCTCTACTAAAAATACAAAAAA